TTATGATCAATCAGTTCAAATACTTCAGTCTGAGTGAGTACTTCTGAGATCACAGGATGTATGCCTTCATCGTTTGCGTACTTCAGGCACTTGCACAACTGATATTCAAAATAATCAAGAATATGATACTTAACCGAATTGCAAGTACCGACTGAAAACTGAAATGTGAAGCTTAGGTCCTTCCACAGCCGGCTTGATCTGACGAAGATTTCAAGGCACTCCACTTTAGGAAAGGAAAAGGTCAGTGAAGTCAACCGTGTCAAGGTAGAAACCTCCTCCGTGATGGTCCTCATGACCTGATCAGACCACAAAGTGTTTGGGTCTACATCAATGATGAGTTCTTCTAATAATGAAATGCTTGAAATCACCTTGGAGACTGGGTTTCCGGCCGCACAATTTAACAATGACATGCGTAAACATCTCATATGCGTTAAACTTCCAAGTTGAATAGGTAAAGAGATGATTCCGGTGCGCCGTATGTCAAGCACCTCCAGATGCACCAGTGCCTCTAAGCTTGAAGGTAGTTGTATTAAACGCGTGCAGGAGTTCAAGTAGAGTGCCCTAAGATCAGTCAAGCAAGACAAAGAAGGTGGAAGGGATGTTATTGCCGTACTGTGTAAGTCCAACACTCGTAGTCTTTGCATAGACAAGAAGAAGCTATCTGGGATCATCATCAAATTGTAATTTCTTTGCAAAAGTAAAGTCGAAAGATTTGTGCAATTTGGTGTTGCCGGTAGACTGCACAAGTCATTATCCATCAAAGAAATTCGACTTGCAGATGCCCATTCTTCTTCCTTTGGCGCCTCCTTTAGCCCCTCACATGTTCTCGTCAAGAACTTATGGTCTAAGACTCGAGATGAAATTTTAAGGGCCATATTACGAAGTACTTTGTTCATTCGGACATGTCTCTTCATCACACTTTTTTCTAACAGAGATACATTAATCAGATCGTGCAATATGTTGTGCCCTCTATCGCGTGCATCTCGAAACTCGTCAATGGTATGGAGAAATCCCTCTGCCTTCCAACATTCCATCAGATAGTCCACAAATATGTCACAGTCTTCGGGAAACAATGCTCCATAAAGAAAGCAAACCTTTTTATCCTCCCCATCTAAATCCTCGTAACAGAACTTGAGGAATTCGAGCACTTCATCCATGCCTTGGATATTGATACTGGGCCATCTCTGCAAGCTCCTCAATCCATCTCTCCATAGGTGAATGTTGTCCTTCTTTCTAAAAACCCTGGCCACTTTATCGATTAACAGTGGCAAACCAACACACTCTCTAACCACGAGTTGTGCTATAGGTATGATGCTTGGATTTTTCATAGTTCGACCTACTTTTTCTTCGAACATTTTATATGCATCGGTATCGGATAAACGCTTCATATTGACAAGCTCGTCAGCATCCATGTCATAGCACAAATCACGGAATCTACTGGCAAATACCACCTTGCTGTCCTTGTCATTGTTGGGAATACCTATCTCATGTATATCAAAAGGATCCCAAACTTCATCAAGGAGAAGTAAGTACCTCAGGTCTGCCAACTCGTTTGATATAAGTTGAGCAGTCTCAACCGTGTTGACTCCGCCCTCCACTTTCAGCTTCAGACGCTGTGTGATTGCATCTTGCACCTTCTCAATGCTCCACGCCTTCGACACCGATACCCAAATGACAATATCAAACATTTTCTTAACCTCTTCACAATTATTCAAATTCTGCATCACCGTAGTTTTTCCAGTCCCCACCATTCCCCAGAGTCCGATCCTTTTGATATTTCTCTCCCTCAGATTACCCAAAATCTCCTCGACAGCCCAGTGTAGCGAAGGTTTATCCTCAGTGCTAGGAGCATCTATGACTCTCACGGGCTCCGGGGATCTTTCAGCTACCACCCCATTATCAAGCTTTCCTTTTTCTAGCAGGACTTGTAATTCCTCACGCTTCTTGGCCATATGCTTGCTGAGATTTGCACGCGACCAGAATCGAGCGTATCTCCAAGCATGCACGATCTCTTTCTTGTACTTGCTTTCCAATTTGAGTACTTCTTGTTCGGCCGCCTTGACCCTGTTAATCCAGCCTTCACATTCCTTGGTAGCCCTCTTCATCTTGTTTTTGTTTATTTCTGCCTCTACATCATCCCTTCTTGCATAAAGCATTTTTGCTTGCTCGTTCATCTTCTCAAAATTGACCTTGAAATCATCAGCGTAGTCAATTTTTTGACTGATGTAGCCAAAAATGCTACGTCCATCCTTGTAGGCTTCGACTGCTATGGCGGAAGCTGCTGCTTCAACCATGACTATCACAAGAACAAAATTATTTTGAAAAAGCACTCCAAGAAAATGCAGATTACTTGAGTAGAAAAGAGCAAGTCATCCATTTTAGTCATGAGATGTATACATAGACAAAAGGGAAAACAGAATTCGACTTTACATTTGTCGAGCGAACGTACAGGAAAATATCCTCAAAAAAAAGAGGAATGAGAGTAACTTTTGCAATGATTCAGAGACTTCAACAGGGATGTCTCAACAACAAAAAAACTCAAAACTTCTGCATTTGGCTCAATTACAGTCTTAGTGAATATGACCCATATGTTCAAACCTATGTTTTTAGGAAAGATCAGTACCTAAACTAGAACATGCTTATATGCTAATGTAATAAAAGCAAAAGGCAAGTCAAAGTAGTAAGAGAAGTCTCAGCAGCCACAACCTTGCAGCTCTTGGTTCAGCTCAAGTACACACTGAATCTGAATGCTACCTTTCCACAACAAAATGGGCACTTGAAAAGGCAGACCAAATGAAAAAAAGAGCTTTATCTTATAATCGGGTGCTTAAAGGAAGTTGCCGTCTTAGCCACACACAGGAAGAAATGTTAGGTTCTACATGGACATCCACAGAGTTCAATCCGAGAGACCCACTGATTCAGAAGAAGACCATTTTAGACCATCAGGAATTAGGAGATGGCAGCAGTGCAAGCTGCAAAAGTTGCATTTTTTGTGATCGCACCATACCATCGTTTCATCACATAGCAGAGGATCAATCTTGCAGTAGAGATTGGATCCTTTTCAAGAACAGGCTTAGGAAACACAAAGGAAACAAAGAATAGGAAAGGAAAAGATAAAAATACACTCCCACAAGCAGCATATATTAGAATTAGAGCGAGTGAAGGAGCATCTCGTGTACCTGATTCTGCAGAGATTGAGATTGGCAAGATGAGAATCACATCTTAGAAAAGTCAATTAACAGTTGAAGCTGCTCGACGGAGAGAGAGAGGGGGGTGAATCAGTTGGTGATCCATTGACGTTGACTTGTCAGAAAGACGAAATTGCACCTACACAATTGCATAAATTCCCTCGTGCACCTTAGCGAATGATTGCAAATTGTCAAGTTTTCGTACAATAATGCCTCCACGTGTCTAACTTTAATTAGGTGTCTGAATACTGTCCACTTGCTTTCTCCCCGCTTCTTTAATTTTGTAAAGTTCAAATAATATTGCAAATTATTAGGAGAAAGTCTTCTTCTTTTGCCCAGAGAGAGAAAGTCAATAAGCAATTTTCCTGCCTAAAAACTTTATTGCAACTTGCCATTCATAGGAGGTGTGATTTGTTTCAAAGTGAATAGGTTTCAGGTTCTAACCTATTAGAGCCGATTCTTAATTTTTGAAATTCGGAAACCGAACTAGTGGACCTTGGAATTGACTTGGTACCTAAACCGGCTATTCCAGAGTAGACTCGAGATTCGGCCACATTTTTTTTTTTCTGTTTTATTATTTATTTATTTATTTATTTGAGATCTTAGACTTTGAACAAACAAACTTTAAAAAAAAAAGTGGAGTGACCAGATTAATAATTGCCAAAAATTCCCACAAAGCTGCCCACCCTTTTGTGGTCTCTGTAATATGATTAGCCCTCCTTACCCAACGAAATCTAAATGGAGACGATGGAAGGACCCGATAGAGAGACCGAAGAAAGGCAACCCGGACCCGTTTTCTCAGTTCTCTTCCCAAAGGTAACCGACCTTGGCCGTGTAGAATTTTGAGAACGAACAATACCAGTATTATTTTCTTTCAATTTGAATATGTAAGAGCACACAATTTTATTTTATTTTATCTTTTTCCTTACATTTAATAACAAAATAGATCGATATAGATAACGGGTTATTTTAATATTTCAATCGTTTCTACGGATGTAGTAATTAAAATTCATATAGTTTGATAGAGTAAATACATGCGGCCTTTATCGGTCCAGTCTATCCTTATCCTTCTCTACATTGAAGCTTTGCCTTGTTTTTTTTTCAAGAGAACTTATACGAAAAGTGGACTTCATGCATGTTCTGGCTTCTGCTTTGTGAGGATCTTGTGTTTGGTGGTGCAGCTTGTATGTCCCTGCTCCGGGTCGAGTGTATCCGTTTGGAAGCGGGATTTTAAGTAGGATTAACACAAGGAACATGATAGAGACGATTCGCAATGGGTTTCGATCGTTTAACCTGCGCACGATAGGATTAGAGATATGACACAAATGATTTCTGAACTTTGGTTCAATGTGTAATTGGATTTTTGAACTTTTAATTTGATCAATATGATCTCTGAACTTTAACCAAATGTGCAATGTGGTCCCTAAACTTTCAATTTGTTTAATGTGGTCCCTAGAATTTTGATACATGATCAATTTTAGTCCATGAATTATATGAAAATATTCAATATTATCCTTCGATTAATTCAAGTTCAAAGACAACATTAAACATTTTCATATAGTTTAGGGACTAAAATGGAATATGTATCAAAAGTTGATGGACCATGTTAGGCTACGGTTGAGGGGGATCATATCGAACAAATAAAAAGTTAAGGGATCACATTACTCTGCGGGATCAGTTGTGTTATTTTTCCTTAGGATTACTCCACCAACACGAAGAATTTCAACTTGGCCGAACCGGTCTTATCCGGACGCACTTGACCGGTTCGTTCGCGTTCTACAATCTAAAATCGATCGGTTTACATGTGTCGGGAAACGGCCTGGAGGCCGGCGGTTCTAGCTTGCCGCCCCTCTCTCTCTCTCTCTCTCTCTCTCAATCGCCGACGGTGCCGTTCTTCGTTTGCTTCTTCCTTCTTTTGGGGTGCGATCATGGGGAACGTCAGGAGCAGGCCGGAGTCGATTGAGCAGTGGAGACGCCATGGAAGCAGGACGAGAGCAGGTCTTCCGTCGCAGGCCCTCGATTCAGGTCCTGCTCTGGTTTCAGGTCCGTACTGTTCATGCATCCGATTCCGACATCTCTCGCAGTCCCTTCATTTTCCTCCTCGAATTCTGTCATACGTGTTTGGTTCTTGGCTGGAATTGTTCATGTGCTGTTTGACTCAGGTACACCGCAACAGGCAGAGGAACTTGAGATATGTTATGACGACATCGAATCCAGTCCACCTGAAGACAGCAGAACGGTCCTTATGCGTGGGGGTCTAGGACTGATGGAGACTCCGGAGGTCACGCAGTGGCAGAGTTTCACAGAGATTTACTTGATGGAAAATCAGCTGACTGAGTTACCCGAGGATCCTCCTCTGTGTCCTCTACTTTTGGTATTGTTTCTGAATAGAAATTACAAGCTCAGAACGATTAGTCCCTCTTTCTTTGATTACATGCCTGCTCTTGAAATCCTGAATTTATCCCGAACTCGGATCAAGTCCTTGCCGGAGTCTCTATTCAGGTTAAGCCGCCTAAAAAGACTATTCTTAAATCATTGTGAGCTATTGATGGTGTTACCTCCGAAAATTGGAGAACTTCAGCAGCTTGAGGTGCTTGATCTTGAAGGGACTGAAATCATGGATCTGCCCAAGGAGGTTGCGAACCTAACAAAGCTCACTTGCTTAGAAGTATCTTTTTGTCCACGCGTCAATCGTGGCACCAAATCTGCGAAAGCAAACGCATTGATTCCTCAAGGCACTATTTCTGCGCTATCCCAATTAGAAGAGCTAAGTATTGATGTAAATCCTGAGGACGAGAGGTGGGAGAGTGTTGTGGAAGCTGTTGTTGACGATGTTTGTGGCTTGTTGAGGCTGGATACACTTAAACTGTACTTTCCTCACGTGGGCTATCTGAGGAAATTCAAATGGTTTGGTACATCAGAGGTGTCTAGATCATTGTCCCATTTCAAATTCATTGTTGGTAATCAGGATGAACGCGTCATGTCTTGTCTCCCGGTGGATCTTGAGTTAGAGTTAGAACACTGGGATAGATCCCTGAAATATGTAAATGGTGAGGGTGTGCCCATAGAAGTCCAGAAGATGCTTTGGCATACTATTGCATTTTTCTTAGACCGCCATACAGATGTCACTAAGCTATCTGATTTTGGGATTGAGAACATGGAGCAATTGACATGCTGTATAATTGGGGAGTGTAATGAGATTCAGGTTATTATTGATGGAACTGACATGTATGATGAAGCTGATAGAAGTGAAATAGTCTTGGAAACATGGGAGAATGATAGGAGGTTTCTCGGATCACTTGAGTATCTCCACGCATATCATATGAAGAGTTTGAGGAGCATTTATGAGGGGCTAATGCATCGAGGATGCTTGTCTCATCTTAAATGCTTGGCCTTACTCACATGTCCTCGATTGACTACTATATTCACACCTGGCCTACTGGAAAACCTTGATAGCTTAGAAGAGATCAAAGTCGAAGACTGCCCCCTTATCTTAAGTTTAGTGAGGTGTGAAGATGCTTGTATTTACGAGAATACTTACTTCCTCCCCAAGTTGAAAAAGATATCCTTATTCTCATTGCCTGAACTCATTAGCATTTCCAATGGCTTACGCATTGCACCAAACTTGGAGCAACTGAGCGTTGTTGATTGTCCGAATCTCAAGAGTCCATCACCTATTGAAATTTGTTTCAATCATCCAACAGGAACTAAAGGTAACGGTAAGAATCAGTGGAGAGCATTGTTCTGTTGAGATGATGCATGCCTTTTTCTTTCATTTTCATTTGATACATTTGATTGAACAAGTTAAAAGCTGCAGGCCCAGCCTTAATGAAGAGAAAATTGGAAAGTCAATACTTATCTGAATGAACTTTGATGTTCTTTCAAATCGGATATCTGATCTCACCCTTGAAATGTTATGAATGAGGCGGTGACATCTAACTGTACAAAATTCTGGCCGTTCTAATGTTATCTTCAGAACTCTGACTTCTTCTCATGCATATTATTTTCTGTGTACAAAACCAAATGTTGGCACCGCATTAATGTGCACTGATTCGGATTGCTAGTCTATTTTTGCCACTGTAAAGCTTGTAGATTGACGTAACACTAGCTGGCTTAGTTACTTTTTTTTAGTAGGAGAATTTATTCATTAGAATGCTTAGGGAGTTATTTTCGCTTTCAATTGTGAATAAATAATCGGAACTCCTGTTTTACATTCTGTAGAAATACTGTACTTTTTATCTGGTGATATGAAGACCTTACTCCATGTTACTCTGCTTGTGTTTGTTGTAGGTACTATATGGGAAAAAGGAAACAAACATACTTTTTTATTTATTTTTGGTCTGGTGAAAGAATGAACTTGAAGTTAATGTTTGGTTTATGTTACAAAGTCCAACCAAAGGCTTAAGCGATTAAGGCGAGAGAGACTATTGCTTCATTTGTTTAGCAGAAAATGAATGATTTGGAAAATATTTTCCTAAAAATGATTACTTGTATCACTTAAAATAATTAGTCAATGGAAAATATTTTAATTTTTGACAACAATTTAGGTCTAAATATTTTCGTAGACAATGAAAATATTTTTCATAAATTCATATTTGTAAGCAATACAAGCGATCGTCTTTAGAAAAACGTTTTTCAAATCATTTATTTTTCGCGAAACAAACAAAGCCCGCGTATATAAAATTTTCAAATGTTGCTACCGTTTGCATTGCAATAGTTGCAGATGCAGGCATATCAACCTCATTGGAGTTGTCATCACCACAATAGGGCCAATAGCGCCTGCTATTATTGGTGTGAATTTTCATTCTTGCCGATTGCTACATGTCGTTAGTTAAATAAAGGTTATCATAAGCTCCGTAAACAAAAGATGTTCAATACTTTAACATTCCCTCTCATGTGCAAACCCGGATAAATCATATGATTAATGCACAGTAGGAATAAGATAGAGAAATTACCTCACTAGAAATGGAATGTTAAATGGGGCATGGAAAATTGAGAGTTGGCTCTAGTACCAAAATGAAAGTCCAGCCTGAAAGCTAGTATTAAGTTGAATGCAGAACATAGGACCATTGTAAACCCCAAAAGAAGCAAAGTGTGGTATTTTACTATTATATGTAGCTTGTTATTGTGGATTTATAGTCTAATTCTGGTTGTGCTTTTCGATGGCTCATGCATTTGCCCCGCTAACACTTGTCAAGTTGGAGTTGATTGCCAGTGTCCTTAGGAGTGCTCTTTGTTCCCAGAGTTTTAGTTGGCAGTGTCGGTTTGGGAAGTGACTAACAATTATTGGGTCGTAGATCATCTAGTAATGGGTGATGATAGCGACGTATCTCATAGGGAGACGTGAGTTTGTGACAGATCTAGAGTAGGTTGAGGGTGTGATATCACAAGAAGTGAGCGAAGTACCTCAGAGATTGATTGCATATAATTATTTTAGTCTATTTCAAGAGATCGGGTAGATTCATTTCTGCTCATCTTTTTCCATCGTTTCGATTGCAAGTTAAGTATGCTGTCATAGTTATCTGTGGTAAACCACAGATATCCACCTGGGTGGCTACATACCCTCCTCTATTCGGGACTGGATGTTTCCTTGAATTGGAAAAGAAACACGCCCTAGGCCAACTGGCAGATTAGCTGATTCATCTTTAAATTCCTGTTTAGATGAAGTGGCTTGGTGCTTGTTGTTCATCTAAGTGACCCAAATCGATGGTTATTCGTTTCTTCTAATATGCTAATTTCGTATTGAGCAGCACAAAGTATTCCAAATGATGCAAGCAGAGAGCAGCCTGCTCCTCCTGTGGTTTCATCTACAACCACTGGTAATGCAGACCCTTCAACTTCTAAACTCAAAAGAAACACGTGCTACGCCAACTGGCAGATTAGCTGATTCATCTTTAAATTCCTGTTTAGATGAAGTGGCTTGGTACTTGTTCATCTAAGTGACCCAAATCGATGGTCATTCATTTCGTCTAATATGCTAATTTCGTATTGAGCAGCACAAAGTATTCCAAATGATGCAAGCAGAGAGCAGCCTGCTCCTCCTGTGGTTTCATCTACAACCACTGGTAATGCAGACCCTTCAATTTCTAAATTCAAAAGAAACACGCGCTAGGCCAACTGGCAGATTAGCTGATTCATCTTTAAATTCCTGTTTAGATGAAGTGGCTTGGTGCTTGTTGTTCCCATAAGTGACCCAAATCAATGGTTATTTGTTTCGTCTAATATGCTAACTTCGTATTTGAGCAGCACAAAGTATTCCAAATGATGCAAGCAGAGAGCAGCCTGCTCCTCCGGTGGTTTCATCTACAACCACTGGTAATGCAGACCCTTCAACTTCTAAACTCAAAAGGGAACCTAAAGTTGCTCCTCGGCTGTGGAAATCCTTATTCAATGATCGTAAGTTAGCTGCAAGAAACTTTAGTGCTGCAAGTCTTCTTGGTGAAGTTGGTTCGAGCTGTGCATGTGGATTTACAAATGATACAAGCAGAGAGCAGCCTGCTCCTACTGGGGTTTTATTTACACCCACTAGTACAGCGATTGACTCAGTTTCATCTACAACCACTAGTAATACAGCAATTAGCTCTTCAATTTCATCCAAGACCACTAGTAATACAACAGCCAACACTTTGACTTCTGAACTCACAGAGGAAATTATAGTCGCTCCTCAGCTGCGGAAATTTTCATTAAATGATCTTAAGTTAGCTACGAGAAACTTTAGTCCCGAGGCTCTGCTCGGCGAAGGCGGTTTTGGCCATGTCTTTAAGGGTTGGATTGAAGAAAATGGGACTGCTGCTGCGAGGCCTGGCACTGGGCTGACTGTTGCTGTTAAGACTCTCAAGCTCGATGGGCTGCATGGTCACAAAGAATGGCTGGTAATATATCATCTGATGATCTTTTATTTCTGGATTAATGCATGTTTGAAAGTTAGTATTGACTTTTGATCTGTTGCACTTTCCATGTGCCAGGCTGAAGTGAGTATTCTTGGTCATCGAGAGCATCCAAATTTGGTAAAGTTAATTGGATATTGCAAGGAAGACGACCAAAGGCTGCTAATATATGAGTTTATGCAAGGAGGGAGCTTGAACAATCACCTCTTTAAAAGTATGCGCAGTTGTCCTTTTGGTGCCCTTAATGACATGTCTTACATTTTGTTCTTCCTATGTAAGTACTCACGGTAGAACAATCCACCCATAGCTGGATATTGAAGTCGTGTCTCCTAAGAAAACTAGTAGATTGCTACCAGCATCTGGATAATAATGTTAAGGAGAGAGAATCTTACTTGTCCTTACTATGGACGTCTTTCCAAATATGATAGGGTTCGGAACCATATTTTCCTAAAGAATATACCTACAAATTGTCAAGTCCACAATGCTTATTCTTGAATTTTCTTCTTCCTGAAATGTTTTAGCGTAAATTGCTTGTTTGATGTTGGTGCCACTGAGAACCAAAAGGATGCAATACCAGAGACTTTCAATGTCATCATACCCAGAGGACATTATAGTTCGTAGCCATGAAAAAAAAAAAGGAAAGAAATGTCAGGAGATCATGTGAAATGGTCATGAAATGTCGCTTTCTAGCAGCTCCATCCGTGTGATGATTTTAGTATCGTTTTGTCATCTTTGTTTCTCAGTATGACATCTCAGGGAATCCTGAGACTTAATTCTCTTTAGCTTGGTCATTTAGGCGCGAGAACACCACAGTTTTACCATATTGAGGATGAAACTGAGAACAAAGCTTGCAAGCACGCTAGTAATGATATTTAGTGGAAGGTACATGCTTGCCAATTGAACAACTCTTGATAGCTACTAAATGTTTTTAATAGTAGGGCATAATGATTTGTTTCAGCAGGTTTCGCTGAGCTTTCCTTTGCATAAGCGTAAATTTCAATTTTATGAGAAAAGAAAGGGCCTGCTGTGGTTTCTCCATTCTGGCCCTACTAATTCTTCACAGTTATTTTCCAAAAGTTAGTATCAGTTTTAACCAAACTATCTTTGACTATGGTGGCTTCAGAAAGGGAATACTGATATATGTGTGACGACAAACATTTTATTAGTTAATTCTTGTGTTCTTTTGTGGACTGTGTAGGAGGGACTCGGCCTCTCCCTTGGTCTACCAGGATGAAAATAGCGCTGGATGCTGCCAAGGGTCTCGCTTTTCTTCATGAGGAAGCACAACCGCAAGTGATATTTTGTGGTTTTAAAACTTCCAAGATCCTATTAGATGCTGTATGTAGCAAAAGTTGCGGCGACATTCCTTTTTCCTTTTCACTTGTGTGGTTCCACTTTCTTATGACTTGTCTTTTTTAGGACTACAATGCCAAGCTTTCTGGTTCTGGACTTGCAAAAATTGTTCCCAAGGGAAATCACCATGTCTACACCCGTGTCATGGGAACTTTTGGCTATGCTGCCCCAGAATACGTAGCCACTGGTATGTATATGTTAGTACAAGCAATTTGATGATGAGAAATGTCCGAGTTATCTGCATAAAAGTGGTTGAGCAATGTTTTTGACAAGTCAAATCCTGTTGTATTAAAAAGAAGATAACAGCCCCAATCTACACATCTCATGCACAACATGTGCACCAATTATGATTAGGAACTGAATTGAATTAGGTGGATATCAATCGCGACCAAAGACAAGAAAATTAGGGGGACGGTTATACACTGATATACCTACTTTTCACTATGTGCATCCTATATCTGGTCTGTCCTCATACATGGTCACAATTTGCAGTAACGGTACAATCAGCTGTAGTTCTTGCACATCATGCCAAAAGTCACATTCTTTCTGTTTGAGTCCTGCATGTAGTCTTCCAAATGATGTTATTCCCTTATCTTCCAGTCCACCACATAATCAATCATTGAATGGAATATTTTGCATATATCTTGCTTGAACTTCTTGGACATTATGTATTGCTGGCAAGTGAATTTTTTTGTTTTCGTTTTACTTTGTTTATTTTTTTTTTTTGGTCTTTAGTTGATATTATTCTTTTCAATTAACGACCGAATATAATCTTCACCCTTCGAACACCCGATTAATCCCCATCATTTGCTGTAATCTTTAATAGGATGCAAAACCAGTAATTACCCAAACACCAATTCATAATTAAAGCTCTTTCTTCATGTGTTTTTACGTGCTTCGATGCTGCGTGTCCAAAGGATTCTTAGTTCAGAATGTAGTATTTAGGTTTTTTCCAGTAGCCAGTTAATTTCCACTAAATGTGGTAGTCGTCCATCCTACACGCACAAGATGATTACCAAAAAACGTAGACCAAAACTAGGCATCATACGTTTCTTTGTTTAGCGCGCTTCAGGTCTACATGTTGTTCATCATGATTTATGTGTTTTCTCATCATACTATCCTATTTGTCATTTACGAGAAGAAAATTTTAACTTAGAAACCATTAAAAAGGCGGTTGACTTATCTTATACATCTATAGATTAAGAGTTGAAACTTTTATCTTCTCTTTGTTTTTAATCTACATACGTCCTTATAATTTCAGTGAAGGCAATGCATAAAGAAGCATTCACTATTTTATCTTAAATGGAGATTATCATGACCTGACAATTTCTAAGAACAAGCATTATTCTGATTTACAGATCAATTAGTTAGGTCCATGTCTATCATGCTATAAATTACTGCCTCGCCGAATCCTTGAATGAAGTATATTATGATCACAAGAGATACAATATTGTACTTCGGAATTGCCGATAATATCATAATTTGGGCTTTGGGTATGGCACTAATTACTTTGATAATTCCATGACTAATACCGATAGCTTTCTATCCCCAGCAACATGCGGGGTGCTTACCTGGCATAATCAGAAGAAAAAAAAGAAGTGATGGGAAGACGGAACTAAGTTATTGTTTCAGCCTTTTAGGTCATGCACCTGTTTTTGATTGCTAGAGGTTAGCGAGATATTCGGCGGGTACCTCATGGACTGTGTTTATATATAAATAGGACCATTTGGTACTTATTTTATGTACTCCTGTTTAGTGGGTGCACATATACTATTGCAGGGCTCCTCACAGCAAAGTGCGATGTCTATAATTTTGGAGTGGTTCTTTTGGAAATTCTGACCGGACGGAGAGTCATAGACCGAGATCGGCCTCCCCTTGAAGTTAACCTTGTTGAATACGTTCGGCCACTTCTAGGAAAGAAAAAAAAATTGCACGAATTGATGGATCCAAGGCTTAAAAAGTTCTCAGAAAAAGGTGTCCAGATTGCTTTCACGTTGGCTGCTCGCTGCCTCAGCTTAGACCCAATAGCTCGTCCCCAGATGAAAGAAGTTGTTTACGTTTTGAAGGGTCTCCCAGATCTCCCATATAAGGCAAGTTCATCAACAATTTTCAGAACGAGACAGGAAAGCACTAGCAGTGGAGCAGCATCCAAACTCAAACCACGGTGAATTCAAAGAATGCAAGTCTTTCAATTCCGGAAGAAACCAATGTAGAACCGTGCCACGACACCACCAATCTCTGGAAGCCAATGGTAAACCATGGCAATGTGTCTAGAAATAGCTGTCCTTCAACCCCATTTGTCCCATTTGTTTCCGTTTCTTCTCTTCCTTTTTGGTGCAGGAGTTTCGACTTTCATATGAACATTCGCTCCTAATTACTGAAATGTTGATGGAGTAAAATATAATATGAGTTATGCTGCGTTTCTAAAGGTATCCTTTGAGAAGTGGCCAGGTGAAGCTTAAAACTGGCAGCACCTAATGCGAAGTATGTTTGGGCTTCGATACCTTATCTTTCCTGTACAGCATTTTAATAACAATGATCACCTGTGATGGTGCCTTGTTTACGTACCTTTTACTGTTAAATTTCTTCAGCAGGAGTTTTTCATGTCGGAGAGCATGTGTTTGACACATGTTCTTGTTCTCAATAATCATCTGGTTGTATTTCTATTTCTCACATAACTAGGGTGTTCGTTCATTTTGAATTACCAATTCGTTTTCTGTTTAAAAATATAGGGCTGTTTTCTTTAAGATATCAGCCATGTAATAAAACTTTTCTTTTTGTATTTTGCAATCAGTCTAGTCATGTAGCTGAGTCTAATTTTTCTTTTTCACTTTGAGTTTACATTATTAACGGTCTTTAGAAAAAAATTTGAATATAAATCCAACTATAGGTAATTCACTTTAAATTTTCCGAATCTACTTATAGGCACGAAAACGAATTTAGGGCAATGCTTTTATACTACAATCAAAACACATAATATAAGAGGATTTACATTATCTTTTTAAATTTAATATCGGTAAAATTTCAACAATGACATTTTTCAACTGAGAGAAATAATGATATTCACATAATTTTGCAGATTACAAGTGTGTTACAAAGTAAAATTACATTTTTCCCACGACATTGCACGCGAAGCCACTTGATTAGCCTTCAAGTTTTTGGTTTGGGTGCATTTGATTAGACTTTGGGAATTTGGTTTTGAGTGGGTTAGACAAAGGGCATTTATACCGAGAAAGGGAAGGAATTCTAGCAAATGAAACAAGTTATTGTTCTATATTGTCGGTATACCATGTATATCATGTATTCATAATTTCGTTCACCATCTCAATAAACGTAACAATTACTTGTGAATCAGTAGTATTTGACAAGGAACATATATTTGATGTATTTTTTGAGCTTGTCATACCACATATATTTAGTTGTTCTCCGTAAAAAATTATCCAGCATCATTTGGATGACTTAACTTCATGTCGACTGTCTCCCAAAAAGTCAAAGTTGACATCATCTCTTCAAATTTTTGTGCTTGGACAGATGGAGTATTTCAAAGATGGTCCTGCACGGTTGCATTTCATTATCATCGATTGGAGTGATGGAGTTAAGGCCTGCATTGGCAACTTGCATACGCCCCCAAATAATTGACGAGGTAGTAGGATGATTTCAAAATCACACTTTTAGTTTATTAGCTAGATAACAACCCAAGAGGTTGTGATGATATCCCACCATTGAGCAATGTAGGATAACGTTAGATTATGTGCAAATTGGATTGGGAAAACATCACTCGAAAACTTGAAGATTAAGGAATATAATTAGCAAGAACCCATAATAAAATTAATGTTAAATTTAAAGAATGACATGAAGAAATTGAGGAACTTGCTCTGATTAAGATAGGAATTCACCAGAAAATATAAGTCGTTAGGTTGAAGACAGACACATAGACATAAGGTCTTGATATAATCGTAAAAAAGAAATGTAGGGAAACTTTAAAACTATGTGATGGTGCTTCCCTAGTTGGAATAAAGAGAAGTCTTTTGTGACATCCTCGATTCGGAACCTAATTCGGCAAGTGAAGTGGCTTAAACTGTCAATGCTCTAATAGCAGGATTAGACCATGAGTCGATTCACGAATCGTTCGTGGGTCAACTATTCGATTAGGAAAGGCAATTGAGGGTTGGACAATGCGATCGACTAGAATACTCGACCATGGAAAATAGCTCGACCATAAGGATCGATGCGGAATGACATTATGACGTCACAGGTCAAGCAGTGAAAGGTTAGGAATCGATTCGGCGAAAGTATACATAGTCATATTGCAGGTGATTCCGCACGATTATTATACTAAACCCGAACAATCTTAAGTCAATTTCACCATACCACATGCCCCGGGTAAATAAGTCAATTCCACACGATTACATGACAACCGAGAATGATCCATGGATTAACGAGAGTCGAATATGGATTGATTGACGAATCAACCATAAAGTCACGCTAGCGACACCCCAAGAGGCCACCTAACTCGAATAGGCCGTATTAGGGACACTTCCCATTGAAGTTTTGCCACAAGCCTCGATCCGATTATAGGTTTTCGATTAAGGATTGTTCCGAGACTTTCCGGTCCGAGTTAGTCGGGGTAAAACTCGGGGATAGTTTTGGGCCCCGAAACTTTGGACAAAGGAATTAGTGGGCCGAGAATGGAAGCCCACAAGGGAGTGGGTCGGGAAAAAGCCCAATGGGCCTCACGCCTAAGACCAAAGCCCAATGAGCCCATTAAGCTTTTCAAGCCCATTTCTCTTCCAATTGGGCCCATTCAAGCCCAAGCCCAAGTTTGCTGGCCCGAGCCCGAGCCCACGTGAATAGTAACCGTGAATAGTATCAAGGGCGAATTTACCAAAATGCCCTTCAAGCATTTATGTCCTAGAAACAAAAAGATATTAAGAGAGAAGACTTTGGTGTCTTGTGATGATGGAAGAAGATTTTGTTGGCTTTGCATTTACGAGAGAAATATCTCTTGGCCTCTCTTCTTTTCCCCCCCAACAGACCACTCTCTTCTCTCTCTCCCTCACCAATTGGCTTTTCTCTCTCTCTCTATTCTCCCTCACGCCATCACTATTCCAGCCACCACCAAGCCACTGTCCAGCCCCCTTTGCTACTGTGTTGCTGCCGTGGAACCACCAGCAGCGACGCCGTGGCTGCCCGCCACCGTGAGCCACCCGTCCGAGCCATTTTTGCCGTTCAACCGAACCCCGCCAAGCCGAAACAGCTGCCCACAGCTGCTGTCCAACTGCTGTGGCTGAGACCCATCCGACGCCGTCGTTCCGTGTCATTTCTGGACCATGACACGCGTAGCCCTCGCCGTCGTCGACGTGCCGGTGTCTTCGGATTTTCAATCCGGTGAGTTATTGCCCTAATCCCTTGTTTAGTAGGTTAAACTTGATTAGAGCGGATTAGTTTAAGTCAATTATGTTTAGTGTTAATTAATTAGGAATTAGTTGTTAAGCTGTTGGAATATTATATTAATTTTCGGGAATTAAAAATATTATTATTTTATTAATATTTTTGTGGAATTTCTGAAAATAAACTGTGATTATTTTAGGCTTGAATTGTTATGCCTAAGTTGGAATTTCCTTGTAAATTGGCTTGTTTAGCCAATTGAATTGATTGGTTATTGTTAAGTATAGAATTGTGGCATTTAATTAATAAACCCTGAGGTGTCGGGTTTATTTGTTAAGTTTTATGTGAGAAATATGTTGTGAATACTTGAATATAGAAGCATGCCGAGTTTGAGAATTTATTGATATGTGCATAATCACGTGTGAATATTTTAGTACATTTTTATGTGTGAAAGTTGCAATATTTCAACGTGTTAGCACGGATTATGTTTGCATCGGCTATTGAAAATTATAATGATGGAACCTGAGTGTTGCTATGTGTGCATGATCACCTAAAGGTTCCTTTTGTGCCCGGTTATACCGGAGAACCGTATACCGGATGACCGCCAACCTAGGGTTTGGCCGTGGCCCTAACGGGTGTCCCCAATTTGGTAATTGGAAACCGTCGCTGGTAGCAAGGGAGACGTAGTCATTCGCGAATCGGATTCGGAATGAACCCATTTATGGGATATGCCGTCATTGTGGTCGGGTGAGACGATGCCGTGCCCGACGGGGCGGGACGATGCCCGGTTATGTCGAAAGACCGCCAACCTGATGCGAATAACGCGGGTTGTGCGGTGCCCTGTGTGGCTGTAGTAATCGGAATATGCATGAAAGATTGTTGTGAAATTGCGCTTGATTATGGGATGAAATTGTGAGGCACGGTATGGGACGGGCCGAAGCGATTTCACCTTATAATCGGGACACGTGTGGATGCATTGTGCATGGGAAAGTTGTTGCGTATTCTGATTACATTATATGCATGTTGCATTATGATTGTATATGATGGCTTATAACGTGCAGGGCGTGTGTGCCAACGTAAGGTAAGAATGTCTGCAATGGTTTAATGGCACGTATGTTTATGTTGGGCTGGGTAGCCTGCTCGTGTGAATAGTTAGGGCAAAGCAGGGGTTGCTTTGCTATTGATCTGTCATCGATAGATTGCTGCATGTTTTAGGTGCATCCGAGATGAGTTGACCTCCTAGTCAAGACTTAGGTCGTTAACTTACTGAGATTTTATCTCATTCGTTGTTGTTAACCATCTTTTCAGGTGCTCAGGTATGAGTACGCGTTACGTTCCTTGTGATACGGTTATGTCGAGGGCGAAATACCTATTGAGTTTGTCCTCGTAGATAGAGGAGCTAGGTTAATCCCCTATCCGTTGTTGTTGTAATCGGGAAGGTCGGCATGGCGGACTGGTAATATATGAATCCCCGATGTACTACTGATGATGTGTATATATATGTTGTATGTTTTCCTGTCTATCCCCGTTGTTGTCTGGAGATATACGGTTCCGCATGTGCATGATCTAAAGTGAAAATGGATGGGTCGACGTTGCGTCCTGGGATGTCGTAATTTCACGATCGAGGAAGGATGTTCGTGCGTTCGAGGCTTCGGGGCGTGACATCTTTCCTTGGATTCGTCAATGTCGGTCCTCTAGCGACGCCATTAGTGATAACTAAAATTAATTTGCAGTCAAGACGCGCAAAAGTCTGGTCTTGCGAATCTCCCATTCCAATCGTGCTCTATTATTGCATTGCGGGTCTTGACTGAATAGAAAGAGCTTATCTCGCTTGTTTAGTAAAGTTAAGGCCTTACCTTGCGGGCGACGACCACGTCAAGGATGTCGAGTTCTTCTCGTTCATATTGGCTGAATATCCATTTTCAACCATCGCAAATACGATAGATCTCTATAATTGTACTCTGGGCCTTGTTCCATTTATTCTTGGAAACTCACACTGATGAGGAGAATATCGGATAGCTAAGCCATTTCGAGTTGAAGAAGAGTTAAAAAGTTTGAATTTATTTTTTTTTTCTTCATTGTGCCGGCAAGGGTCGCCGCGAAGGCCTCGCCCGTGGCCAGCGAGGTCGCAATGGCCCTGGG